GGAATGTGAGGTTGATAGCACACCTTTTGCTATGTTATAATGGTTATTTGAAAACATTTTTTCAAAACTTACAAACGTAAAAACGAGATGGCGAAGGCAAAAAGATAAAAAAATTCCCGCAGCGAATTTTCAGAGCTACGTATATATTTATAGTGGCCCCTATTCTCGTTGGCGTTGTCGTTTTAAAACGAAATAAAAACGACAAGTTGGCATCACTGTTGGCGTTATCGAAGTTTATCGGAAATATATCGGTATTCTCCATTTTGAAACGATGATAGGAACGCCATAGAAACATTCGTCAACTGTCGTCCGCATTTTTTAGAACAAAAGCGAAAGGATTGCGATATTAATAAAGTTAAAATGAAAATTATTACCTTGCAGCAATTTGAGGTTTTAGTTTCCGAAATGGAAATGAACCCCGCATACGCCAAAGGTTTTAGGAAGGGCATAAAACCTCTAAACTTCGATAGCTATAACTATAGTTATTGGAACGTGGTTGCGGAAAAAGTAAATCCTTTTGGACCTCCAGTTCGTGATGGAGACGGTTGGCACAAAGTAAGTAAAATTATGTTAGCAGTAAATATTACTTAAAACTAACGATTATACAATTATACTAAAGGTATGGAAGGACTTGAAATTCAAGGTCAAGAAAAAACTGGTCAAAAACAAAACCGAAACGAGGGCAACAGGAGGAGGAGCCAATAGACAAATTCAACTGTCACCACTGGAAGAAGCGGTTGCAAATTGGTTGCAGTTTGAGCAGCAAATAAATCCAAAAGGGAGTGAGTTGGGTTTGATTGAAGATACCGAAATTGCTGAACCTTGATGAAACGACTGCGAGTTCTCAAATACAGGCAAATATAGAAAACGCTGAAGAATATGTGGTCGAAGACTATGTGGAAGATGAAACACCCACAGTTTCAACAAGAGTGCGATCCTCAAGAAGCACAAAACCCTCAGAAAAAGAAAGAATAGAGCTGTTGAGGAAGCAGACCGAAATACAGGAAGTGCAGTGCGACCATTTACAGTCCATTAAGGGATACATGAAAGATGTTTCCTGATACCAAAGAAAAAGGTATGAGATAGAAGAAGAACGCCTAAAAATTTACAAACGGAAGGCACGTAAAGAAGAAGAGCTTTTGGAGCTGGATCCTGCAGTAAAAAGAAAAAAGTTGGAGTTATTGGAGAAACAATTAAGTTCAAATATGTAATTTATTTCATTTGAATTTTTATTTATTTTTTATGAAGTGTTTTTTCTTTTTTTACTTTAAGTATGTATGTATATAGCATGAATTAAAAATAAAACTTATAAAGACAAATTGCTTTTAATCACATCTCTTATTCTGGAAGCCTCTGAGCTACCGCCTGCCTCAATTACATTAATAATGGCAGAATTTTCTGCTTCTTCGAAAGGCGTTTGTAGATCATCTTCAGGAAAGTATGTATTGAAGTGAAGACAAATATTGTGAAGAGCAGCACAAGCGTTTACGATTTTAGTAATTTTTTGGGGATCATAGTGTAACTCACGCGCTCCAAGGAGGCATCGAAATCGCGATTTGAGCACTCCAATCACTCGCTCAACAATATTTCTTGCTTTGGAATGAACGGAATTGTAGCGGCTTTCCGCACTGTGTTCAGCCGCTGATCTATAAGGTGTCATTAGAAATGGTTCTAATGGGTAACCAGCATCGCCTAAAACTTGTATGTAAAACTCATTTCAATATTATTTGTAATTCATACCATGAATCCACGAATTACGTTCACCAGCTTCATATTTTTCTTGTAAAAACCTTCTTACTCGGCTGATATTCCAAATTAAGGAATCGTGTCCAGAGCCTGGATATCTGGCGTCTACGTATCTGGTATTTTATGATCACAGATCTAATACAAAAAAGAATAAATAGTTAGTAATCACTTCCATAAATTACATTCATTCAAGTATTTACAATCATTGCATTTACGCTAAAGAAAACTTTTCTGTAATACAAAGGTTGAGAGCTTTTGCAAGGACCAATTATTTTAATATGCGTCCCGTCTACACAGCCAATGATTGCAGGAAAACCAGTTCGTTCAAAAAAACTTCGCTTGCACTCCATCGCCTCATCTTCCGATATTTGGAACTTGTTTACCGTGGGTTGGGCCAACGACAAATTAAAGTCATTTCCAACGCTAAGCTGATATGACCCTTGCGCGAAAAACCGCAAAGCAGTTGCCAGTTTTATTGTTGGCGTAATGGCAGACTTTCGCGTGTTGCGTTTTAGTTTCGGGCGGATTTGCTGTAGCGCGTATTGAAAAGCAGCTTTGTTTAGTCTAAATGTGTTCACAAATCTAAAAAATATGCACATATGCACATGTACGTAGATATATAAATAATTTACTTAAATACATTTTCTTACATTGTATCTGGAAGTGTAAGTACATTTATACTATGTCGTAACCTCCTGAGATGTTTATTTATATTGTTCACTTCATTGTCCTCACTTGAACTTGAAAAATAAAATTCCGTACTCGCCATTCTTTAATTTTTCGTTAATATAACAAAATTCAGTGTCAAAACTAGCAACGCAAAACACTGCAGCGCTGCCATACTTTATTAATTTTAATTTTTTGTTACCGGCAACTTTTCTCCGTCGTTTCAATATACTTCAAGAATGCGAATTTAGGAACGAAGCGACGATAAAAACGACAAGGACATAGAAACGATTATTATAACGACAACGCCAACGGGAATAGGGCCGAGTATTCATCACAAAATTGTACTAAAAAGTACTGCGTAGTAAACGAAATTGTATCAAAAAAGTACAATTGTACCAAAAATGCCAACACTGATGTAGCACAAAGCAGAACACAAATAATATTAAACTCACTGAAATTATATTCAGCCTCTCACTCGACCAAATGAGTAAAATCCAGCTGGGTAGACTATACTCGACAGGGACAAAAATTGCCGCCACAAATATGAGTTAGTATATTTTGAGTGTGTTCTTGGTTTGGTGGAAATTACTCTTAGTCATTTTTTGAATTAGTGTAAGTACTCATTTGCACTAATTGTTATGGATCATGAATCAGTACACTAATTTTATTAGTACTCAAAGCCGGTCTCTGGTGTGCTCGTCTTTAAGTCATTTGTTTTTGTTATTTTATGGCCTTATAACAATTATATTGAACAATTT